CTGCACGTCTGCCTCGACTTGCTTCCCCTCTGAGTCATCACCCAAATCGTAAGGCTTGGCCTCGACAGCGCTGGCGCCTGGGTTGCCTGCATTGCTAGACGACGTCGAATTGTGCGCATCTTTGACCTCGGCGTCCTCTTTGGCATTCTGACCGTCCTTCTTGGACGCATGCTTCGCAGCTTCTTGCCCCTTCGCCGCGGCGACTTTGCCCTGTGCGCCCTTGCCGTTCGCGTACGCAGTGGCAGGAGCTGCAGTCTTTGGCGAATGAGACCAGCCAGCAGGGCCGGTGGGTGCCCTGTACTGTCCCAACTTGCTCCTGAACGCCCCAAGGACGCTAGCACTGCCAGCAAGCGTGCTCTTGTTGCTCTTGTCCTTGGAACGTCGCTGCGAAACCCCACGAGCATTCAGGGTAGCCGGCTTGTCTGCGTCGTTGGCGCTCTCAGCATCAGCCTCACCCCTTGCGTTCGCTTTGGGCGTGTGCGGGAGCGGACGATGAAGCAGCTTGCCGAACGTCGCCAGCATATTGTCCTGCCCTTCTGACACTTGCCCAGTCGAGAGAGGCGCGGAGACCATTGCATGCTCGTCTTTGAGTACACCGCTCTGCATATTGCTCCCTGCCGTTACGTGGTCACTTTGTGCTCGCGCCGCGTGCGCATGCTCACCCACTTCTTTGCCGCTGTGCTTTGGAACACTTTTTGAGAGCGCGTCGCTAGCTCCGGGCGTCGCCATTTGGTGCGAGGCGAGACGCCTAAAGCTGTTGGACAGCGTCGCGGGTCTGGACTTTTTGAAACTGGACGACTTCTCGTCCTTCTGAGCGTGTGCAGCATCGCTCGTCTCGGCTCGACCACCAGCCGAGGGCGCTTGCTTGATCTTGGGTTCCCCCTCTCCCTTTGTCGTAGCTTGCACCACCTGCGAAGATCCGTCAGCGTTCAAAATGATCGCTTTACCCGCGTCTCCGGACGTAAGAAGCGCGCTGCCTGCAGACTGGGCATCTTCCTTGGCTCCTTGCGCAGCCGGCTGCGGTCCCACCGTCGATGCAGCTGCAGGGTGGTGCTGGGTAGGCGAGGCTCCAAATACGACGCTCATTCGACGTTTGAGCTGTCCGTACAGAGCTTTGGCTTTGGCTTCCGCTGCTATGAGGGCAGGGGGTGGTGGGCCCAGAAAAGGTCCCGGAAGCGGAGGCAGCGTGTTCGACGTGGACTCTCGCGGCTCGCCAGGTGCCACGATGGGATCCGTAGGCTGAATTCCAAGATCAGGCCCCGGTAGCGGGGGTAGCTGCGAGCTTGGCTCGAGTGGGATGGGAGTGACGATGGGCTGCTTCGAAACCTGACCCGGCACCGAGGCCATTTGCGCCGAAGCTAGAGTCTGGCTAGCGGCGGCTTCGTCAGCAAGCTTTGGCTTTGGCGTCTCGCGATGTTGAGCGGAGCTCTTCGAGGCCCGCGCATCCTGCTGACCTTTCGTCTTCGTGTCCAGAGCCAGGTTGTCCGCGTCTTTGCCGGTAGGGCTGTTTAGAGCCCCGCCAATCTTGCGAGTGAGTAGCATCAGCGACTCTCGGCGCTTCTTTTTGGCATCAGGATTCTTTGCGCTCTTGGCTGCGTCCGCTTCGAGCTTTGGCTCGATTGGTGCAGCTGGTAGCGCGGTGCGTTTCGCTTCGTTAGGGCTGTTTGGTAGAGCTGCATCCGCAACCGAGGCCCTCTTGCTGGTAGAGGGAGCGGTGATGCTGCGTCTGATGCTACCGAATATCTCAGTGACAGATGGAACAGCGTGAGAAGATTTCACATCCTTCTTGCGGTGAGAATTGTCATCTTTGACGTGGCCTGCCATGTCAACATCCTGATCGCTCTGCGTCTTGCGTTTGCTCTTCGCATCTTGCAAAGCGTGCGGCTGCGCTTCGCTGCGGCGTCCAGTGGGAGTAGCAAGGTGAGCCCTTTTGGTTTCAGTGGCTTCATCGTCCGTGGCATCGTCGATCGTGACTTCAGGTGGCTGCTCGTTGGAGGCAGTGAGCGGCTTGGCGGAGGAGGCGGTGGCGTCAGCAGCATCGGCATGGGTATCGGGATCCGCAGAGGTGGCCTGTGCAGCGCCGGCTGGAGTGTCGCCCGTGTCCGTGCCGTCTGCAGTGACAAAGGACTCGATGGCAGAAGCTGAGCCTGGTCGATTGGCTTGGTTGCCCGCCGGCGCTGGCATGCTGAGAGTGAGCTCGAGCTGCTGTGCGCTGTGCACATCTTCGATGGCTGTGGGAGTCAAGGTAGCCTTGCCACCTTTTTAGCGTTTGCGTTGGACGAAGCAAACAGGCAGGTCAAGAGGGAGAGGGAGGATGCGCGTTGGGCGTTCGCAGCAGAAAGGGGAAGGATTGGAGTCACGAGTCAGCGGGGATAGGAAGGGAGAGGAGTAGTGAAGAGAATGATCTGCATCAAGCAGGCATACACTCACCCGCTGCAGCGTTGCTGTTGTTGCGATGCGCTTGCTGTGTCGTGCTCGACATTTCTTTTGCTTCGCGTGTGTGTAGCGTGGCGTCGCGATGGATTGATGTGAAGAGAGAGGCAGAGATGGAAGAGGAATTGCTTGGTGGATGCAAGGGTGGATGCAGGGTTGTGCTTTGGAAGAGCACAGTCAATCGGGATGGAGAGACAACTAAAGGTTGAGGTGTGACGCCAGAGGAGTGACGCCAGCAGCAGCGATGGAGCGGCAGACTCAAAGTCAAAAGTCTGCAGGACGAGCCGTTCGCCGTTCGCCGTTCGCCGTTCGCCGTTCGCCGTTGAGTATTCTTTTGATCAGCACCAGGCGCAGCCGGGAGGCGTGAATAGAGTACGTTTTACGAGCCGGGTTAAGAGCTGCTGCATGACTCGTGGCCGTATTCCCAGCACTCGTGACTCACGACTGACACTCAAGACTCACGACTCGCGACTGATGATGCTGCGTATGATATAAGATCGCTAGCTGCGCGCGCGACGCCGCGTATCACATCATCCGCTGCTGAATCGCAATCAATAAGGCGCAGCAGCTAGCGATTCATGACTGCTCCTTATGGATGTGTGATTGTGATTGTGATTGAGCTTGATGGGAGGCAGCGAGCCAGCGAGCCAGCGATGGCGGGCCGCGCGCAGTCAATCACGAGTAGAATCGCCGCGTAGAGGTGAGTATAGTCACAGTCGCCCCCGCAGTCACGAGTTGTGCAGTGTGTGCAAGACTTTGCTCTCGCTCATGGCTGCGCTCATCTCCGTTGCACTCGGCATCGCATACACGTACATGCGCACGCATCCATGGGCCGCCGCCGCCATGCCATGCCAGGCCAGGCCAGGCCAGGCCAGGCATGCAAATGCGCGGGACGCCAGCAAATGGGGGTGAGGTGTGATCCACCATGGATGAGCATCGGGCGGGCAGGCAGGCAGGCAGGCATGCCTCATAGCTGCATGCTGCCTCTCATGTATATCTGCGTGCGCATGAGATGCGTTCATGAGTGAAGGCGGACGGACGTGAGCAAATGACGAGCGTGAACTGAATTGAGTTGAATCGAATGTGAATGCTGCCGGGTGTACATACCAAATACGATTTAGCATGCCTGGAACGCGGAGCTATAGCGGTAAAGATGAGCCGTGATCGAGCTGTGCGGTCACGCATCTCGATCGAGCGATGTACACGCGCTCGGGATACGCAGTAGTGCGCGACGACGTGTAGGACGAGCAGCGCAGGCAATCGTGAATGCGGCCCTCTCTGAATGCGCGATTTGACGCACAGGCGGCAGGCTTATTTCATTCCCTTCAACGGCGCGCGCATTCCTCATCTCCTGGCATCGATCGAGCCGGGTATCGGTGGGGCGGGTGCGCTTCATCGTCGCGTGGCCCGCACGTCGCATACAATCCTGCAGCAACCGACGTCGAGGCCGCCGCGCGGATATTCAGCATGAGTAGACCCGCTCGAGTCGTGACTTTTGCCTTGATGCTTGAACATGAAGGCGGTCCCGCTCGTGGCTCAGTCGGCGGCCACCTTCCGCTTCCATGCAACGTTTCGAGATGAGCTTTGCGCAGCAGCAGCAGCAGCGGCGGCGGCGGCGGCGGCGGCGGCGGAGCCCCAGCTCGCGTTACCCGAAGCTTGGGAGAATGGAGAGGGGCCGTTTCTTCTCCATGATGCTGCCCCCATCCTGCGTGCTATGCGCGCGACGTTGAGCAAGCACGATGCGATAAGAGTCCCCCCCCCATCCCCCCCCCTCCCCCCCTTTTTTTTGTGCTTGCCTGTCAAAGTTCACCGGTCGTGCTCGCCATGCTTTTTTTTTTTGCTGCATGAGCCACGGTGGAACTTTATGCTTCGTGAGTTCCGTCGTGGCGTGCCCCTTCGCAAGGGCAGAACGGGCAAGGTTGATCTTGATGGATTGCGTGCGCATCGCACAGGCAAAGTCACGAGTGGTGGATGTGAGCAAACCAAGGCGTGCGCGTGCGCGTGCGCGTGACGCGCGCGCTATTTGAGTTCGCGGCAGCATCAGATGTAGCACGCACGCATAGCGGAACCGTATAGGTACCATACGTGATAGGTGGGGGTTTGGGCATGAAGTCGCGGCATGGCAAGGGGGCCAACGCGCGCGCGGAGCTTCGTATGCATCAGCAGCGCTTCACCCCCCTGCCACGCTGCTGAGCCAGCAGCGATGGCACCATGCCCATGCAGCTAGCTCCTTCACCACAGCCAAATGTGAATGATGCACATCAGCACCGTTCCACATCGAACGCGGGCGGCACGGCACGTGCTCAAGGAAAGCCGTCGGCCAGAGACATCGATCGTCAATCACGAATATAGCGGATTGCAAGAATCGCAATTTCCTTGATCCTGACTTCACCCCATTCGGCAGGCTACCAACAAGCAACCTTTGCACGCTGCGCCGAACGGCGAGGCGCGCAACTCGGATCAGGGATTTACATTGTTAATTGCACTTCCAGAGCAGACGAGGAGGTGCGAACAAGGACCGTCAAAGCATGGGGTGCGACGAAGACGAGCAAGAGCATACCGGCTAGAGCGCAATGAGCGTGAGGTGAAGGGAGAAAGGCGGCCAAGAAAGGAAGGGGCGGTGAGAGAGAGAGAGAGAGAGAGCGGCGAGCGGGATCACTTGAGGCCCGCTAGCTTTCTCAGAGTAAAGGTCGGGAGCAAGGCGCGCAGCTGATTGGCGGCCTTGGTACCGAGGATGGGTTCAGCACCGTAACTGGTCAGACTCAAGATGGAGTGTTGGCTCTGGACGCATTTGGGTTGGTTCAATCGTCCCTCGAACACCTTGTTGATCCAGTCCACAGCTCCAGGCACACCGATCAGCGTTTCCGTCGCGTGTTCGGACAAGTCGGAGAGCGAGTACTCGATGCGCGCTCCGTTAGCGCATTGCCACTTGACATAGTCGTCGACGGGCGGACGAGGGATGACTTCGTCGTTGCGAGCGTGGTAGATGTAGACTGGGATCTCGGGCCCCAACAAATCCTGCGCTCCTCGAGATCCGAGCCTGTTGATCTCGAAATACTTGACAGGGATGGGGTCTTGCAGCGCCGCGGCTCCCTTTTTGACGTACGAGTAGTAGTCCTTGAACGCAAAGTAGCCCAACTCGCCAGCGATGCATCCTTGGTCCGAACGAAGAAACTTGAAAGCTTCCGTTCCGTTGGGCTTGAGCTGTTGGAGGAGGTAATTTTCAACTTCAGGGTAGGCGTTTGCCGCACCTGCCAGGCCGGCGGGTCCGAATCCAGCAAAAAGTCCCTTGTTCAAGATCTCGAGCGTGGCGGTGAGATTGACGGGGATTCCGCCGTACGATCCACCGATGATGTTGAGCTCGGAGGCGTATTCTTTGCGGTACTGCATCGCCCAAGCGGCCGCGTGGCCGCCTCCGCTGTATCCGGCAATGACGGCTTGGTAGCCGGTGGGGTCTGAAAGGGTCGGCTTGTGGTTCAGCAGCGCTCTAAGTCCATCCAGATGTGCTCGTCCCTCTTGAGGGCCGACGATGAAGGCGGCTTGGGACCCTTGATAATCAGGAACGCTTACCTTTGGGGTGCACGGGTCCACGAACATCGACTTGTCAGCTTCTGCCCCAAGCGCATCGACGAACCGCATAGACTTACGTAGTAGCCTTTTTGAAGCAGAGCATTGATGTACGGCGCTTGAGAAACGAGCACGGCGCCCTGCTGACTGCCGGAATCTCTGATGAGTGCGTAGGAGCTAGCGCAGTCCTTTGCCGCCGTATCAGCAAAGGCGGCGTAAGCAACGATCTGAGGTACTCCCTTTTTTGGGTTCTTTGGCTTGAAGACCGTCGTGACCGTTGCGTCGGGCTGGTTCGATCCAGTTTGCGAACGGTAAAGCAGCTGGTAGACTTTCGAAAAGAGCTGAGAATCCACGCCCAAGGCCAGATCACTCGTAACATCGCGCTCTCTGATGATCGCTCCATTCGCATAGGTGCCGATATTATCAGGAACCTTGTAGAAGGGGTCGACGGACGGCTGAGGGTACTTTAGACGACCGAGCAAGCGCGGTTCGATGGACGCCGCATCGACGGAAGCTGCAGCGGCGAGGATGGCGACAAGCGCCAGGCCGCACGTTGTAAATTTCATGGTGCAGAAAGCGAAAGCTGCAGAAGAGGCAAGAGGGTAGATGGTCGGGTGTCCAAGGGCTTGACAGGCACGCTGAAATGAAGGGACGAGCAGAGTGGAGGGCTGAAGGGGGAAAGGTCAAATTGTTGGCCGACTCAATCCACGGGGATACGGAACGAAGCAGATGCAGAGGGGAATGGGGGGCAAAAAGCAGTGGAGAGAGATGAATAGGATGGGGGAGAGGGGAGACCAAGTGGCGCGCAAGCGCCTGTGTTTAAATGGCCAACAGTAGCGTGTGAGGATCATACAAGTGTGTCAAGGTGTAGCCGACGGCGAACCTTTTCATCGTGCCTAAATTTGCCAGGTCGGCGTCACCAGCAGAGGATGGCGGCGCACATCGGCTGCAGGGCAAAGACCCACATGACGATCCGGGGAAGCGAGAGCACGGCAAGGGCATTCGGCTTGCTTCTTCCATATTTTTGCACGCAAAGTGTAGTAGTACAGTAGAAAGCGTGGCTGTCGCGCCCTCATTGCGCTCGCTGTAAAAAGTCCGCTCCCGCATGAGAAGCCAGAGTCAGGACTTGGGCCGCGAATGAGAAGATCCTAAAATTCCGCCCCGATGCTTGTAGAGACTGCTGTCGTGAGGAGATGAGCCGCAACTGGTTTGCAAGCTTGTTCATCATCTGTCGACCCACCGAGGTACCGGTCTTAAGTTCCGCCCATGGACGACAGCCAGCGTCGGGGATTTAGCGCGAATCGAGACCTACGTGGGGGAAAGGTGGACCGGAAGAATGGCGAGGTGGGACTCTGCTTGGACACTTTTTCGTTTCGCGAGAGGTGCAGTCATCATGAGTGGCGCGAGTCGTGAGTGCTGTGCATGCCTGCATCTGCATGTCACCGCGTCAGGCGCCGATTCCCCACCTATCACGAGCTACAGTCTCAGTGAGCGACCTGCTGCGAGTCGTGAGCCGTGCCGTGCGCCGTGAGTGTGAGTGGTGAGCCGCACTGTGAGAGATTGCGGACGGACGTCACGACTGATGACGAGCGAATGAAAGCTTCAAGGCGCTAGCCAGCCCGAGTCCAAGCTCTCGCTGGCTGGCTGCTGCATGACAAGAGAAACTTTCCGAGAGTCACGAGTGGAGCCCCGCACGAAGCTGCCGCTCGAATGTATGCACCGCACTCACCACTGCACTGCGCTGCGCTGCACTCGTGACTGCACTGCACTCCGACATCGATTGCCGCAGGCTAGGCGGAATTGCTCGATCAGACTCACGACTCACGACTTGGTTACGCGCGGCTTGAGCGCGACAAGTGTGAGTGAGTCGATCGATAGATCGTGAGCCCGTGACTCCCCTCCCAATCAAGTTGGAAAGGGCCTGGCGAGACCTGACCACCTCGTGCGTTCACACTTCACCTCACCCGCCCCTCTTCTTCCCCTTTTTCTTGCCCCCCCCCCCCCCCCATCTCATCTCTAGTCGGAGAATGCATCGGTCTTCCGCTTACCAGCCAGCCAGCCAGCCAGCCAGCAGGCTGCAGTGGCACGGGCGTGGAGGTCCCGCTGCACGTGGTGAGGCAAGTCACAGAGGCGTCAGGCAATGGGCGGGCGGGCGGGCGGGCAGCGCGCCCCTTCATTGCGAGTCTTGAGTTAGGACAGACCCGTACCCCCTAAGCGGTTGGGTTGGTAAGGCAGGCATAGGCTACGAGGATCCCACCCTAGGCTGCTTGCTACACGACAGCCTAGCTGCTCTCGTGCGCGAGTTCCACCAATCTCAATCGTGAGTTGAATCGTGAAATGACCAAAGCAGCGGCACATCAGCGCGGAATATGTGTTGTTTGAAACCCCGGCGCGCGCGCGCAGCATGGTCTTGCTGTATAGCTGCAGCACTCACAGACTTGCGGAAATTGCGGGCTGCCCCGCGGAACGACCGCTTTATCGGCCGAGTACAGGTTCGCCCAGAAAGCAAGCACGCACAAAGACCAGACAGAGCATCACGCGAGAGCTTTGCCGTCCTAACACATTTTGATTCACATTCCCGCGAGAACTCATGTAGCATCGCGATTAGAGGCAGATGGCGAGATACTGAAGCCAATGACGAGTGTGTATGCGTGTATTAAACAAATTGTCGGCTGCTGATATGTTTGCGTGCATGCGAATGAGAGCATTCCCAAAATGAAACTGTGGTCAAGAGTCGATCGAGACCACTCCCATTCATGTTGCGCGCGGAACTGTTGTGTATACTTGGAGTGAGAGTAAATGGTGACGTGTATAGTATTCCCAAGTTCTTCGTACTCTTCGTTGCAAAGTCGTTCGGTTCGTTGGAGAAAGGGCGCGGAGTAGTGGCAGACCAGAGGAGCGCCAAACACGCTCAGCTGAGAGCAGGGCGAACACGAGTCGCAAGCATCGAATCAGGCATAGCGTGGCTGCTCGATTTGTGCACTTCCCATTTGTCGCACGCGTCATCGAGATGCAGACGCTCGATGGTGTGTAGCGGGTCCTTGTCGACTTCCAGCCCATCGCAGAAGCTAGGCGTAGGTAGGGATGAAGCTTCAGTGAGCGCATCGCTGGTGCTCACATCTCCGGCGTCCGTCAGACCCGGACTTGAGGAAAGAGCGGGGCAAGAGGAGCCGTCGCCCGCGTCTTGCCGAAGATCATGAGGCGAGAGCGCTGCGGGATGAAGAGAGGAAGCGGAAGAGGCCGAGTCTGTCGACATCCAATCCGCAGAGGAGTTGTCTTGCGAGGAACTCGAGTAGCCGCGTCTTCCTATGCTGATCCCTGCACTTCCATCCGACGCACGACGATCATCAAGGTCTTTTGGGTCGCCGTCCCTTCGATGTGCAGCGTGACGTTCTCCAGGCAATGCGCTCAACGGGTCGCGGGCATGACCACCTTCCTTTGCGTCGTCGTCGCCAACATCCGTGGTCTTTTTGAGCCATGATTGGACAGAAGCAGCCTTCATTGAAGTCCTATTGGCAGCCGCATCGCTGCGACTGCGCGAATGCGCATGTGTGTTTGCCAAAGATGCGCAAGCGTCGTTGCTGCTACGCTCCACAAATCGAAAGGATCGGCCATCCTCAGAGATTGGGACAAGCGTGACTTCTGAGCCAGGTGACACGGTGCCGACGTTGCTTGTGCCACATGCGGATGTTGCGTCCACACTGCTCGAGCTCCCCGCCTTTGCAGCCTTTTCCTCTGCCTTGCCCCGCATGGAAAAGTAGGCCATGTCGCTCAAAGCTGCATTGTCTTGCGTCAATGGTGCCTCTGAGGGTGCCAGGGAGGAGCGACGCTGCGGTCTGGACGTCATCATGCTAGTATAGCGTGGCGAGCTCATCGTCAGCGTCACGCTCTCAGATTTGGGGCTCTGAGAATGACGGGAGGAGATGGAAGGAGCTTTGGAGCGGATGGGCGAGCCTGGCTGTTGATCTGCTGACGCTTTGCTGCCGTTTGACGATGGGCTGCGCGTCCTGAGTAGAGGGCGCGAAGGGGTTCTGGCGTGGCTTTGCTGAGAGGATGACCTTCGAACCATGTCGATGAATGCATCGGACGAAGGCTGGCCGCGCTCTCCGTTTGTTCTGCCAGGGTGTCCTTCTACAGCAACAGACTGCGAGCTGGAAGCAGTGGGTGCCATCCATCCAGTCCCAAATCGAGTTGTAAAGCCGGATGTCTGGTATGAGCGCAAAGATGTTGGTGATGTGGCAGACGCAGGCTCCCCTTCTGCACTCGATCTTTCTTTCGGAGGCTCGAGAGGTTCTGCGCCTACGAGATCCGTGTTTTGACGCAGGCGCGGTCTTTGAGGAGATGCGCGAGGAGGCTCGAGCGCGCCGGTGGCGGACGTGGTTGCCATTCTTTTTTCACAAGGACGAGGTCCGCGCGAGACAGGCGGCCCGGCACGTATTTGCTGAGGCTTGCCTTGGCTTGCGTGGTCTGCACTGAATTGGATGGCGATTTGAAAGAGATCTGCGCACGATGTCGAGCCGCGTGACTGTTGGAAAGATGACGCGGTTTGCAGAAGCGAGGATTGTCGCGCAAGGGTCGGAGTATCGCAGAGCGTAGTCGGCTGCGGCTGGAGCAGCTCCGAGTAGGGACGAGAAACAGCTCACGCCGGGTAAGGCGGCGTGTTTGCTAGCGGGCCGTCGGCGGGGAGGGGCAAGGTGTTTGCGCGACGCGGGGGGTATTCAGAGCAATAAGAGGGTATGGAAAGGAGGGAGTTGGAGCTGACCTTTTGATGCGTGCGCTCGTGACGTGAATGTCGAGCCGGGATGGAGCAAGCCGTGAGTGGAGAGATAGGTGGGATGAAGGGTGAGAGCCAAGTGTGCACACACACACAAGCGACTCACGACTGTCGCCACTCTGACTCAGACTCACGACTTGAAGGTTTTGGATGCCAATCTCGTGTGGATCTTGCACGGCACGGCACGGCTTGGGGCTGAGATTGGAGTCTGAGTGGAGTTTTTGGGCTTGGCTTGGCTTCGACGCACAGAAAGCGCATCAAGAGTCACAGTCACAGACAGTCGGACTCTCGCGCGCGCGCGCGGGACCCTTGCTTGCAAAGCTCCGACTGATGCACGGTGCCTCGCTGCGCACAGCTTCGCGCTCTTCTCGATCGAGTCCCAGATAATCATTCACGATTGGGTCAGCTATGAGCAGCTGCATGCGCTGCCCGCAGAGGAGTGTGTAGGAGTCTGAGTCAAGCACGCGGCGTGCGCGGTATGCTGGTAATTGCAGCGGAGCGCGCGCGGGGCAGACAGGCAGGCACTTGAGAAGCCAACGCGCGGCGATCACCGCATGCAAGTTTGTGTGACAGGCAATCCGCGCCCAGCAGCAGCAGCTGCTGCATGCATGCATGCAGGGTCCTGCGCCTCGCGTCCATTTGCCTACTCCACGCGCATCGGTGCTGACATTTCGAGCGATCGAGCAGCAGTCGCAGTCGCAGTCGCAGTCGCCGTCGCCGTCGCAGAGCGAGTCGGTCAAAATCGTGAATCAAGAATCGTGAATGTCGTTGGTGGTCGCTGCATGACGTGCCCTTGGCAGCCAGCAGCAGCAGCAGCACTCGATCGTCGCTCCATTTCGCCTTGACAAGCGCATCGAAAGTCAAAATGTCGGCCGGCGCGTACCTGTTGACGTGGTCTTCTCTGCTGCTGCAGCCAGCCAGCCAGCCATGTCGGGCGTGCTTTGTGTCGCCACACCGCACCGCGTCCTTACTCAGCAGCAAGCATCTTCGATCCATGTGGCAATTACGAATCAAGAATCACGAAGGTGAATCTTGAATCCAAACGCAGCGCGCGCGCGTTCAGCAACATTATAGGAGATGACCTTGCCCCTCCCGTTCCTCGATCGCCCCGTACCTGCTAGCGCTACCCCGCCCAACGCTGCGGCTGTCAGATCACGAGCGCGGAATCGCGGCCCGTGACTCGGACTCGAATCTTGAATGTGATGCTTGAATTTGAATTTGAATTTGAATCTGAATCTTCACCTTTTCCGGAGGACTGTTCATCGTCTTTCAACATCTCGCGTGCGATACCGAGGATCGTCGCTGAGGAGATCGTGACAGTCAGCAGAGCATCGTGTGGAATGCGCGAGTGACGTGGGGCGTGCGCTCGCTCACGCCGGTGCGTACTCACACTCGTGGCTCGAGAGTCGACTCGAGACTGCAACGCAAGATTATACTTGACTTGCCCATCCACCTGCTCCACGAACGAACGGCCGTCTCTCGAAGCGATCGAGAGCGAGACGGTGAAGAGAGCTGCAACGCGCGCCCGATGGAAGGACAGGACAGGCCAGGGTCAAGTACAGCTCACGTGATTAATTCGGCATGCCGTGCCGTGCCGATAACCAATCTTGAATCCCACGCGCGCCGCGCGCATGGTGTGATGTGTCGGCGTGGTGGTGGATGGCGTGCGAGTACCTTCTGGTTATGCGAGGGTAAAGAGGTTCGCAATGCGAATGCGAATTGAATGCATGGCTGATGCTTCGCTTGCTGCTGCGTACGACATCAATTGATCACCCTTTTGATTCTATTCTGATTGTGATTCACATTGTATGCTGCTGCTGTCATGCTGTCAGTCGCGGACTGCCTTGCGCTGCTCTGCTGCTGCTGTGATCGAGCTTGTAAGGAGGCGTCGGAGTCATTCGATCACGATTCAAGTCACGCTTCTTGCAGGTGAGAGGGAGCTGCTCGGGCAAGCAGGCTCAACGGTGTGGCATGGCATGGCATGACTGTGACTACTCCTACCCCTGCCTTACGCTGAACGCACCTGCTGGGCCAGAAATGCACCTCCTCGGCTTATCGGTGCCACCTGCCTTGCCTTTTGCGCAATCAAGCCCAGCATTCACCACCACCACCCTGCCCACACCTCACATTCAAGATTGTTTACCCATGGCACTTCCTTCCCTTCGCCAAACCTCCATCACCATCAGCCGCATTGCCACCCGTCCATCTCGACTCTAGCCTCTCCCCCCTTCGCCACCCTGACAGCTCTTCCTCTTCCCCCCTCCAGGCGGATCAGCCCTCTTTGCTCAGGATCGCCCATCTACCACATTTCTCAGCGCACGCCCCCGTCTCGCCGATAATTGCCTCCCTCTGACTTCCGCCCCTCCTCTGCGCCAATCATGCCCACCATTGCCAGCTCGACGGCCAAGGCCAAGGCGCTAGAGGAGGAGGATGCTGCTCCACCCCGATCAGCAAGCACCCGCAAAACGCGGCCTTTGCGTCGCAAGACGTCCCACTCGGTCATCGAGAGGAGGCGAAGGGAAAAGATCAATGAGCGGCTAATCAGACTTCAAGAGAGCGTGCCCGCTTGTCGTCAAGAGGCGCAAGAGATGTTGAGCAGCAAGTTGAGCAACGTGAAGGGCAAAAAGAGGCTGGCTGAGGCTGATCGGCAAGAAGAGATCGAGAGGCGCATCAAGCAGGAAATGGTTCTGGAAAAGCTGTGCATCATCAGCCACACTGTTGGTGCGTGCTGCGAGCCATTTGCATCGATGCAGTTGCGATCGATGGGACTGACTCGACGTTTTCCATTCCCCTCTCCTGTGCTGCCCCCGCTCACAGACCATTTGGCAGAGTTGCAAGCTCAAGTGGCGGCATTCAGGCGTCTCTGTCGATGCTCTCCTCCCATCACCCTGCCCAATCCACCTTCACCTCACGCGCACGCCAAGTTCGCACACGCACATGGGCACGCAGCATCCGCCGAGGAGGGCGAGGAGGAGGAGGAGGAGGAGGAGGGGATTGCCTTGGAACATGGCAGCGATGGCGATGATGCACGAGCGAACGACTGTGACGAAAAGCAGCGGGGTGGTGCGAGCGAGCGTGTGCAAGCTTCAGCAGTATACGCTCCCAAACGCAAGAGGCACTGGGGCAGCAATCGACCCCCGCGCGGCGAAGCTGCACCTGCAAGTGACAAGCGGAAGCGCTCAAAGATCGACAGCAAGGATCGAAAGGTCGCTGCCCACGAAGCTAGTGCCCAGAACAGTCACAGCGTCGAGGGTGGGCGCGCTGTGAAAGTTCAGGACGAAGCCCTCGTCAGTGATGCCGAATCACACGACGGCGACTCGTCCGCCTCCGAATTAGCCTTTGAGTCACCACTTCCGATCCAGCAGGCTTGGGATCACGCTCACCGACCCATCCCTGCGGCCGGTCCGCCGATGACTTCTGCGCGCAGACGCAGGGCTACGGACGCTGGCTTTACACCTGGGCCGGAGGGTCACGGAGAAGAATCTATGCACGCTTGTGGACACTCACATCCACCTGGAGGCCACGCACCAGGTGTGCAGTATCCTGGAGCAGCTCATCATTACGGCTACCGCCACGAGCCACTTGCTTCGATCCAAAAGACTCTGACCAGCAAAGGCGATCACGTCGCTCGCAGCGAAGCGCCCGAACTCCCTGCGACTTGCCTTCCTTGGAGCTCGCAAGGCGCGTTGCAGCACTCCTACCGCCAGCCGAGCTACCATCGAGCCTTGCCCCACCTCTGGGCCCTACCATCACCTTCTCAACCTCTCTTCTCTCCAGCAAGCGCTTCTTGGCCAAACGCGAGCGCAGATTCAAGAGCAGATGGCGCCGAATCTCCACGAGGCTCTGCAGACAGCTCCTTCGCTTCTTCTAGAATTCACCTGGCTCCCATCCGTACGATTAGAACGGTTCGTGACGATTTCGAGCGTGGGAACCGATGCGAAGGGCCGCCGGTATTTCACAGACCTCGATCGCTCTCCCCGACCAGGCCCATCAGCGATCTTCAAGAGCGTCGCAGCCCGCACTTCGACTTGCGCGCTCTCCCAAGCATTCGACATCTGAACATTGAGCAATCCCGCCAGCTCGATCAGCAGGCACCATGCGTCGATGAAGATGCACAGCCCGAGCCTGCGATCAGGTCTGCCCACGTGCAGAAAAGGACGCCGATGATGAGCTGTTCTCCCTCTTTCCCTTCATCGACGCACGAATCGCCCAACACTTCTCCCAGCTCCCCTTCTTCGTCCTCTTCCGCCGCATCAGGCTCCAAATCCGCCAGTGCTGGATTGGACATTTTGGCGGCCGCTGTGAGCGGGGAGAGGAGGCAAACGTCGACAGAGGTCAGAGAGCTTGACCATCCGAAACTCGCCAAGCAGCGCCCGAGGAAAGATCCTCTGCTTGCGCGTCGAATTCTCTGATGCCGAAAAAAAGTAAGAGTGCATACGTGTTGCGCATTGGGTCTTGCGCGAACTGCGTGTGCATGTTGAACACGTTGGTCGACGGTTTGTAGAGCTGACTCTTCGACGCTTACACACTAAGTAATAGACTGTCGATTCTGCGACTTTGCGTGCGCGTGGACGATGAAGCGGGCTCACCGCAGATGCTATCGAACGCTCGGCTAGATCGCAGACTTGATCCATGATTTCACACTTGTGCGTGACTCGTTGACGCGCGCAAGCAAAAGTGGAAGTATAAGGGGGACAAACCATTGAAAGCGGATCAATATCCGTGCCGACGTTTCGAACGACGCGCCCACAAGGCTCTGCGAGACCCATCTCCCTTCATGGGTCCTTGCTCGATGCCTGCCAACGCTATCTTGCCTGCTTTTGGCATGACCCCAGGAAGGGACATTGCTCGTCCCCCC